TTAGTGCTAATTCTAGACATTTTGCATCACTAGTCTTCGATAGATCGCAAAGATTCTTCGAAATTCGCATATTTGAGCACTCATTCTCATATTCAGAAGCAAGCCACCTTTTTTTCACAGCATTTAGCTAATAGACTCGAGTGTTTCCTCAAAGTTCATAGAATGTCAATGCGAGTTCATAAGAAGTGCGATAACCTAAGCAACCGCAGCTTAGCAACCTTAACATTTCATAAATATCGACTATTGATTAAATTAAGTATTTAGAGCAGAACATATGTTTGATTAATAACATATTAACATCGTTAATTGAGACTAATAGACTACCATCAAGTTGATTCAAGAATGGTGTTTTTTGCGGCGAATCTTGGCGGGCACCCGACATCGTTTGAGTTAAGCTACGCACTCAATAAGCGCTGCTCTCATCTTGAGCATCACACGCTGATAGTCGAGAACATTCGAGGGCGATTTGAGCATACTGCGGCGATTCGCAGCAGTAATTAAACCCGTCGAGGTGACACGATGTGTCGAAACCCGGGCATCGTAGTCGCTCAACCTAATCGCTTTTCGTTCGAACTTTCTTTCGAAGCAACGTTGTTCTCAATGGACATTATATGATTAACCATCGACTAAGCTTTGTCTCATTGTTGTTTTTCGACGAATCGACGAATCACATGTGCGCCGTGATGTCGCACTTCTCTCGTTCGTTCTCTGGATTGCGCACCCTGTGCAGGATAAGGGAAATTATCGCCGCTTCCACCAGAGCTCTCACCGCCGCAGTTGCAGCCGCCGGTGCTCTGACACCAATGGAGCCAGCTCGACCATCTTGGTCTCAATTTTTTCGCTTCATTCCGTCTCATTTCATGCTTGGCGACCTCAGTCACCTATTCCATAGAAAGCGCACTGATGTTTTCCATTTACTCTTTGTCGCTTGTCACAACATGTCATGATTGATTCTTCCTGCTGGTAAACAGCCTTTTCGTCCAGGTATGGCATTCAAAAAGCTCTTATCCGATTCCAACATTCCCTAGAACCTACCTGAGATGTCAAATACGTCATCTCACGTGAACAATGAGCTTCCTTAGATGACATCATCGTCGTTGAAGGTCCTCAAGCTGTTGAATAAATCTTTCGCATCACTAATTCATAACACCTACTATCGATATCATCTTACCTCTGTCTTGATGCATCTGCGTATAAGGGACTAAAGAATGTTAGAAGGCTTTTGGGCATATTGAAGTCTGAGAGCTGAATATTAGATGCTTCTTCTCGCATAGCATGTTATTCTGTAGGTTTGGGCAAAAAGTAAGATTGCGGGATGCGAGAACAAGAAAATTCAGGGTTTGTCACGAACTCATATGTTATTTAGTTGCTGACGATTTCTCAAGAATATACTAACCTTGGTAAATCTTCCGCAAGGATTTTCACCTGATTTCAAAAAAAAATTCAAAAACATGAATTATAAAGGGAAAATGTTTTTCATAATTTTTAAAGATAAAATTAGTTTGTTTACCGTTAAAATCTCTTAAATATTTTTTGAGCTTAGTTTAATGTTGTGCAATTGTGTACTTAAAAGGACAAAAATTTAAAGCGGTGGGATTATACGAGCAAACAAAAAAATGAGGAGGCAAGCGGCCGATTCCTTCCCTTATGCCTTTAAACTCTGCCCTTTTTCCCTCTTGTCACATCTGAGTTCCTACTTGCCTATTATGGTGTATCTATGTCCGCGACTGCACAATCACTCCTCATAACTCTCCTTCTCGATATATTTTCTCATCTAAAGATAACTGAGGGGAAAAAACTATCGACTAAACACATTTAAACCGGAAAAATTCCTCTCGAGCACTATTTGCCATGGCGCCAGCGAAATTTTTAGAGTTTTCTTAGTGAATATCTAGAAATCTATTCCAGAATGAGATGACAAGCATGCTTTTGCTGCTATTCGCTGCTTTAGCGAGCGTTGATGGCGAATC